TTTTTTTTTTTTTTTTTTGCGTGGGGGTGTAGCGACGCCACTCGAGTGAAGCGCGACTCAGCAGTCGATAGTCCGCTGCCCTCCACTGTGCGTGCATCAGCGCGGACGTGTACGCACGCGCGTCTTTTAGCTTCAACCAATCAGTGTTGACGCAACGGACATTACACATCAAAGAGCTTTGATCTATGACAACAGCTAAGCTAGCCTAGCCATAACAACAGCTAAGCTAGTTAGTTGAGACGACACGACGCTCGAGGTCAGACGGACACGCTCTCTTTCGTAATCTGTATGTTTTTCCTTTTTCTGTCCAAATATCTATATTTTTCTACTCCAATAGCTGTCTTGTCCACGACGTCTTTTTTCATTCCACCGGGGTTTAGCCAATGTGTTTATAAAGAGACCACGATTTATTTATTTACTATTTATTTATTTATTTTTTGGAGGATTTGTTTTAACAAAAACAGAAAAATCTAGCCCACGAACATTCGGGGTGCGCTCAGAAATGTATGCGCGCCCGTGCGCAACTCTTGAGCGTGTTCGAAGAGGCAGAGCGCGCTCCCCTCTCATTAATTTCTGAACACAGCCCATGTTCGAATCCAATGACACACTGGCACACCGTGTCCCCAGGTGGAGCGTGTAGAACACCCACTCCATTTTTGCTGCACTCTCAATAACTTAACGGCACATTTAAAAAATGCTCAAGAGTTTCCGAACGGAAGGAGTGAAGCAGTACGTGCTCGGAGCATAATTCCAAACGTGTCTTTGAGGTCGTTGCCCCACCCCCACATCCCTGTTCCCTCATCGTGGAAGTGTTGAAATATGCTCCGAGCGCGCTGCTTCACTCAGATGTTCCGAAACTCAAAACATTGTTCACATGTGCCGTTCGGTTATTCAGATTAGCCCCAAAAACGGAGCCCTGTGTAAGCAGTGCAAGGAAAATAAACCGCTGCATTCAGAAATTAGCGTAAGTGAAGCGCGCACGCTACACTTCCACAGCAACGAGGATGCAGACAACAAAACGTTGACAATAACTATGTGAAAGTTTTTCATTTTATCTGAAAACGGCTTGCCTTTACTAGAATCCCACATCACATTCTAGCCAAAGATCCAATCCTAGTGGATGAATTCACCTTTTAAATCCTTGATGCTGCGCAAAGTGAAAGTTAGTTGCCATGACCACTTCCGGTGGATGAAGACACAGAAGCTACGGTCGTCATGGCAACCAACTTTTGGTTTGCACAAAAACAATTTATAAACAGCATTAATCCACCAGGTATGCACGCGGGATTCTAGTTAAGGAAAGCCATTTCAAGATAAAAACGACCAGTACGGTACAGAGTGCACTCCACTCACATTAATTCAACATGACAGTCTATAATTCTTTGTTTCGCATTGTAAAAGTTACATTTATTAAGCATAACAAGTGTTCAGAGAGGTGAGAAGTTTGTGTGTGCCAGGTGGGGGGGGGGGGGGCTAAGTGTGCTTTTTGGGAACGTTTTAGTTTTTTCTCAAATTCAATTTTGCCTGCCAGTCTGGCACTTACATGACCTGGGATACTCGCTGTACAGTGAACACCGTTACCATCATTTGGTTGGGTCGAATCTTACTGTACGTTAACGACAGCAGGTGTATGATATGAACGACAACACAGTGAGAAGGCTGGCCTATTGAAACTCGGCATAACTATGGTCAGAGCAGGATATTTACAGACAAGAATGCAAGGGCTCTCTGTTTTCCTTTTTTCTTGCTGGGACATGTAAGAAACAGCTGAGGGTTTATAAATAAAGACATATTTAAAACCCTTACTGGCTGTACCAAGAAATATCATCTTATATTTTTGACTGCTTGCAGCCTTAGACCAAAACGTGCAATCTCAGGGTTTCAGAACTGATGAAGCAGAGGTATTCACAGCATAGGATTAGAGCGAGATTAAAAAAAATCAAACAAACCCAAGCACAAATGTTGAAAAACTTGGTTGCCAAACTAGTAGATTTGTGTGTCGTATCTATTTTATGCTACACCGACAATGATCAACATGTGAGCCATCTGTTTGTACAACCATTATTAGATCTTTTTATTCGTTGTCACTAAATAAGTAGCAGTAAGCAAGTCGTTAATTCCAGCGGTTATGATCATTCTTACTGGAATATTATTATCCTGTCACCTCGTCATGTGTGCTATTGATGGGATGAACCATCCACTTGACCCCAGCTCATAGTTTGAGCCCTTGCCCAAGCCACAGCGGAGCATGCCATACATCCTTTCCCTTGTATGGCATCCTTTGTGGCAGACTGTATTTAGGGAAAATGGCTAATATTTAGGGACTGGAACATGTAATGTTAGCTGGGCACCTATTTTAAACAGGGCCCATGAAGCACTATACATAGCGCCAACAGTCAGAAGACCACATATAGGATGGGGAAAAGAGACAGGAGTGTTGGAAGCAGCTTGCCCCGTCACAGACATCAATGCTTTGGCTTACCACCAAATTCATCCAGACAACTTGCCGTCACAGTCTGGGGAGAACATTCTTGAGTGCTCCTCTAGCGAGACGTGATCAAATGGAATCATGTCATGATTGGGATGTTTTAATTATTTAGAACCAAAAATTGGAGCAGAGCCTTGATTAAAGTTTAAAACCGTGCGTAAAGTCTCTGCTTTCTCTCAACATTGTATTTGCGTTATTTCTGAATCAATATATTGAAAAACATGTCAGGGTCCAATAGTAGTTTAAGATCTTTATGCAGAGGTGGGTGTGTAAAGTCTGTCAGGCATCCTAATGTCATTATTTCAGGCAGGCCAAGTCCATCAATGCCGGCAGCAGCCAATCGGTACTTGCTACATCACACACACACACATGCCAAAAAACAAATGAGTGCACACACACACACGCACGCACGCACGCACACACACGCACGCACGCACACACACACACACACACACACACACACGTACACACAGCATGGTAGTTGGTGAAATGAAAACAATATGGAGATACGTCATTGCAGTCTGTGGGACTGAAAGGCACACAAAATTGTTTGTTTGTTTGTTTGTTTGTTTGTTTGTTTGTTTGTTTGTTTTAAACTCCAGTCTTCCTCTGCTGTGCCTGTGTGTGATGGCATAAGTACGTTTTTGCGGATGACAACTGGCAAACTGGGTCATCCTGAAATAATGACAAATGAATGACTGACGGACTGATGTGCCCGCCTCTCTTTTCATCAGCCTTGTTTAGTGCGTAATGTCAAGTGTTGTGAAATGAGCCTGCAACAGACGTGTTTTGGTGTGTTTAATCAAAACTACTCTTGAAATTACTGTGTAAAGAGGCAAGAGCAGACACTCAATGCGTGACCTATGAAAGACAAGACAGTTATCCCACAAAACCTTACACATGTGGAAAGACACTTTACGCTCCAGTCAAAACTTGACCAGCTTGCACCACATATAATGTCTTGCCTAGTATCTCAGTTTTGCAAGTGGTTGGCAACCAGTCCCAGGGTGTACTGCACCTTGCCGACAACCCAAATTCAGCAGGAACCGTCTCAAGCTTACCCGGAAGCCGAATGGGGACAAATGGCATTGAAAATGAATTGCTGGCTAGTCCAAGATTTGAATTTTTTCAGCAGTTATTGATGTAACTTCATTAGCTGATAAATGGGTCGAGGTTTCTCAGGCAATTGGGCATTTGTGTTGAACTGCTATGAGCAAAGTGCAGAATTTATGTTTTTGCCACCCTTTCTTTGAACACAGGAGTAAACCTTACGTGTCTTATGTCTCACAGTCCTAACGAGTGGAAGTGGTAACCAGCCACACAGTCCTCTCAAGCGCTCAGTGTCTCTTACTCCACCAATGAGTGGCCCGAGCAACCATCCCATGGGTCCGGTCTGGCTGTCCCAGGAAGATCTCCGTAGTAGTAGAGGCCCAGCCCCCGATCACGCACCCCTCTCCCCCCAAAGCAGCATTGCTTCCTCAGGCAGCGGAGGAAGTGAACATCTGGAAGAGGCCAGTTTGGGAGGAGCTTTAAGTCTACATCGCAGTTCCTTCCATGAGGATGGCAGTGGCATGAGGGGTGAGTCAGAAAGGTTTTAGTTTCTGTCATTCAAAACTAATCATGATCTTTGGATAAGCAGATTTTTATTTTTATTTTTTTAGTGACAGCTTGATTACCTATTAGGGTTGTGCGATATAGCCAAAATTTCATATCTCGATATCTTTGCCAGATATATCAGTAACAATATGCTCGTGATATTATTTGGGTTCAGTGAAAACTATGCATTTTTTTTCAAGAAAAAAGTAAATATCAATCCAAAAAGATGTGAATTGTTTGGCAGCCGGTTCAGGGTGTCCCCGCCTACTGCCTGAAGACGGCTGGTATAGGCTCCAGCACCCATATATATATAGATAGATAGATAGATAGATAGATA